TAGCCGATTTTTAGTTTTAGCCGATTTTTAGGCTTACTTAATTAGGCTTAGCCGATTATTAGGCTTAGCCTAATAGGGCTTAGCCGATTTTTAGGCTTAGCCTAATTAGGCTTAGCCGATTTTTAGGCTTAGCCTAATTAGGCTTAGCCGATTTTTAAGCTTAGCCTAATTAGGCTTAGCCGATTTTTAGGCTTAGCCTAATTAGGCTTAGCCGATTTTTAGGCTTAGCCTTATTAGGCTTAGGCGTAGTTTTTAGCCGATTACGCAACACTAATCTTAAGCATAGTTTGAAATTGAAAACCTGTATTTTAAATATACTTTGTTCACCACCAACTTTATTAATGAATCCTCTTTTTTAGTCTAAAATATCAAAATTGTTATTGTATTCAGTAATTACAGCATTTATCTCAAAATAATTACTACTTTTTTCTTCATTCTTTCTTTTTAAAAAGAAATTTCTTATGGAAGGATTTTTAAGAAGAGGCATGGTAATTAAATATAAAAAGGAATAATATATATTAATGATTTTGAATTTGGCTAATTACAATATTAAATTTGTTGATTTTCAATTAATAAATGATTATATTTATTTAATTAGGATTATAAATAATTTAAATAATGAAAATCAATTAAGCTTCAACTGTTAATGCTAAATTGATATTCAGACATTGCTTTATACTGATATTCCATTTTTAACATAGATTGCAAGCTGACATAGTGAAAATATAATTTAAAAGTATTAATTTAATCTAATAATTAAAATAGCATTCATTTAATATAAATTTAAATAGTCTTATTAATTTTTTAATAATAAAATTAAATCTATATATATATTACTTAATAGAATTATAAAAGAAATCGTTCATCAAAAAAAAATTATTTTTAATTCATGGGGATAGTGTTTGCAACGGTCCGGTCAGGTCCGGTCTTATCAGACTTTTCGGTCTTATGGAACGGTCCCGTCCAACAACACGGTCCCACAGTCCGGTCCGACCGAAGACCGATTAAAGAATATAAGTTTACTATAAATTGCTTTATAGTTAATATGTATGTACATGAACATATAAATAACTAAAAAACGCAATAGAATGAATCCAAAGATGGTTCAATCTATGATGGCACTTGAATCATGGATAAAAAATGGAATCATTTTTGATTTTTTAGAAGATAATTTAATTATTTATATACAATTTATTTTATAACCAAATATATATATCAAAAAAATTAATTAAATATGTAAATCATATTCTTATTGATATAATTTATATTAAATAAATTTGTATTTTAATATTCTTTTGATTAGGCATTTGTGTATAATATAATAAAAATGAATTGATGATATAATTGAAATATTAATAGGGTAGTTTAACTATTCATTTTTAATAAATTTAAATGCAGAATAAAACTTTTGTAGCTTTATAAAAAAAAGTAGGTGGGACCGGACCGCCTGGACCGGACCAACGGTCCCACGGTTCGGTCTCATTTGACTTAACGGTCCATCGGTCCGGTCCCATTTTAGAAAAAAAAGATCGGACCGGACCGTTGCAAACACTACATGGGGATATTAAAGAGCTATTGAAAAAAAATTTGCTTCAAGGGGCCATTCAAAATTTCAGGGGGCCCGATCTGCGCACTGTGATGCTACTGAATATATTAATAGCTATAGTGCTTTACATCCCTTCTCCCCATTTTTTTAAACAATGATATCATTAAACCATTTATCTTACATTATAATCTACCTGATACAATGGAAGAATGCAGAATATTAAAGGTTTATATTTTAACCTATAATAAAAAATACTAACCAATGTATAAATCAATAATAGATTTGATAAAAATGATACCCATCGATATATTCCCTCGTATATATAATTGCCTTAAAATGTGCTAACTACTTTTAATTCCTGCCCAGGTGAAAGATCGTTTTCAGCATTAAAAAAGGGTGAAAACATATTCGATCGACAATGGGTCAGGAAAGTAAAAAAAAATATTATCAATAACATTCCTATGGATCACATTATAAATGAATATGCAACAATGATTAACCAGTGAGGAGAACTAATTTTATCAAATAATTTAACCTTATAATTTAAGTATATTTTGAAATGCAATTTTAGGCATTAGTATCTGCGAGTGAACATATCGTTTGATATTTATTTTGTAAAATTTTTTTATCATTATTCAAAATTAGCTAAATGACATGGTACTTATAAAAATTTTCTCTTTTGAGATTGGAAAAAATCAGAAACCAACAGTAAATGCTTTCTTATGATATGACCGAATCTGTTTCTGCAAAAAATTGGTTAGAAATATTTAAATACATTGACAATAATATATAAAATCTTAATTGCTTTCATCATATCACTCTGGTCCTTATTTTCTAGTTACTAAATGATTTATTTCTAATTTAAAGATTATTAATCCTGTTACTGAGAGCATTAGATTGCATAATTTAGATAAGCAATAATGGTCAACTGTCAAGTCGTTTATATACCATTAAAAATGGAAGATAATCTTTAGAAATTTAATATCTCACAATAATTTTCTCGATTACTTATCCAGCTTCCATAAAGTCATCTAAGAAGAGTTCTGACCACCATATAGTTTTATGATTTAGATTAGTCGTTTATATTCTATTCTTTAAGAAGATTTGGTTAGGCCTACAAATATTTTATTATTACTCCATTCTATAAAACATTGTCTAAAATGGTAACACAACGTTATATTAGTTTTGTGACCAAGCAATGATTGCTAAGAATTATATTGCTTTGAGTGGTTTTTAAAAACCATTATCAATTGAGGCATATGTATGAATTAATTAACTTTTTTATCACTTGTATTTCTTTAGAAGTAAAATTTTTTTTATATCGGCAATCGAAATATTTTATGCTGTAATAAGATTTTGTATTAAATATTATATTAGAAATGTCTTGTATTGTTTTAATTATTTATATGCTTATTATGCATGCATAATATAATAAATGACTAAAAATAATATTTAGATTAATGTTCAGAGTTAGCAAATTTCAATTAAAAAGGTATAATATCTAAACATAAAATGGCTGAAGGCTGGGAAAAAGTGGGCTGAGGGCCCACATATTATTGGGCAAGAAAGGTGAAGCTCCCATAAAAAATTTTCTTGTCGAGCCTCCTGAGATTATTTATAATAAATATTATATAAAAGGTTAGTTAATAAATTGAATAATTTAAGAATATTATATATACATTGAGAATAAAAAGTTGCCATTGACCATATATTATGAGGTTTCTTCTAGTTATAAAATTGGCAAAGAGGATTCGATACAAACTCAGCTGGAAAACACAAGAATTGAGAATAAGTATAATTGAGCATATATTATGAGGTTTCTTCAAGTTATAAAAGTTATTATCAGAAAATCCTTGTAATTTGGATTTATCAAAAGATTTGTCAAATTTTTGGCCATTCTTCTTAAGAAAACTATATATATTTTACAAAGTTATAGAAAGTGTTTCATCTTGTTATAACTAATTTAATATCCCTTTTTCCTTAAAATGGGCTGAACAGTTTGGAGAATGCCCATGTTTAATACACAATTGAGATTAAGATCTTTGAGTAAGGACATAATTTACTGTAAACTTTGTACCCATAGTTTTCTTTATTGGTGTAAAAAATGTTTCATATTATAGCCAAGGCTGACTTTCAAACACATTATGGTTACCACTAGTAGAAGGTAACAAATGGTGTTCCTTTACTTAAAAAAAGGTAATAAATTACTTTTTATGTTACTTTACAGTATTACTATTTAGTATTATTATTATGTGATTTTAGGTATTGGTCAGAAAAAAAATTTGAATCATATTTAATATCATTTTAACTTTATTATAAAATTAATATTGTATAATAAAAGCTTTAAATTCCAATGAATAATATTACTACCATAGTTTTGAAAAGTGTTTTTCAAATTTTGTAAACATCACCACACATTAGTGTAAAATTTGATATGACATATAATAAAGTAGAAATCAAGTTAAGTATTTTTTTTATCAAAGCAGTCTGGAACATTCCAAAACAAAAAATATTTTTTGGCTGGATAGGAATGAATGAAAATATTTAATATTTTTGCTTATATAATAAATAAAAAGTTTCCCTTTTGGTACTTATAATGATATTTATCCTTTAGGAATATTTCTTCCTTTTGTCCTGATAATTGACAAGGATGCCATATGTTTCTTCCCTAGCTCAATTATTCATCTAACAGTAACATAAGGTATTTTGTTCTGTTATGGTTTGGACTGGTTACCAAGTCAAATCTGGTAATTAAAGTAAACTTTAAAATATCAATCATAAAATTTTTTATTATTTTGATTTTAAGCTTTATTTTTATGAGTTATTATTCCCAAACAAAAAATGATTCCCTTATGCCAGATCATACACCCACTTAATTATGAGCATTGATGTGCTTGATCTGATATGGAGGTATTTATTATGTCAATATAAAATACATTTTTTTCAAATCATATTTTATAAAACAAAATTTCCTTATTCTTTTCCATTTCTTTAAAAAATTTTAGTTTCACAGGAAATTTACATCTCTATAAGGTTAGAGAACTTTGATAGTATATTTTATTTTTTTAAACTTTTGTTATTACCAGAGGCATTGCTAGGTCAAAATTTTATGCACAGCCAGTATTTGAATTTTCCTATGTATTGGCTCAGATTTTTAGTTAAATGTGGCTCAGGTTTTTATATTATTAAACAGAGCCTTAATTTTTTAATTGTTTTTAAGCTTTAATTAAATTTAGTAAATTGCTAGGAAGTGGTTTAAAATATGATCAACTAGATAATTTTCCAACTTGTTTATTGGAATAATTCCAATTTATTTTAAAAGTGACCTCAGGTTAGGTTTTGCAAAAAAAAATTATTTCTATCCCAAGTTTGTTTTTTTTTTAATTTGGTATTGATTAGAATATAAAAGGCTCATATCTGTGCAGTGACAAATTAAATTAGAACATTCACTTACGTAACAACTCATTTTCGTCATCTTCATTCTCAGAGGATTCTATAGGGAATAGAGATTCATTTATTGTATCATTTTCTTCCTGACTTAGATCTTGGTCAATGTTTATATTTTTTTCATTCTAAATACCAAATTTTAACTTAATATTATAAATGTAAAAATTACGTTTATATGATATTTATCAATATCATCATAAATGTCTTCATTATCTGACAATTTCAGATCTTCTTTAACAACTTTCTTCTTTCGAGGTTTAGATATTTTAATCTTACCCATATCGAATAAAGAGTGCGATATATAGAATTTAACTCATATTTGATAAGTTCTAAACCCTGACAGGTGAAAATAGTTTATTAATTGTATTTTATACACTTTGTCTAATAGAGTTGTAATAAAATCCTATTTCGGATCGATTTTTAAAAACCGGATTAAGATTATAACCTAAATAATATTATGAAAAATGGCCAAAATACTTAGACATATATTTGCAAATCTCGAGATTTGCATAATATTATTTTGACTAGGACATTTACAAAAATATGGCTATCTAGCAATACTTTTAAACCCTAATTTTATCTAATAAAGGAGCGATTTTTTAAATATGCTTTATATTTTAAAGGTGCTATTAGCCCCCTATTAGGTAAAATACAAAAATGATATGATTGGAATCAGATTTGATATCTATTTGGGGTGTAACTCATTCATCAGTTAAAATCTGGAAAAATAATAGGTTCCCTGAATGGAAAAAAATGGTATACAACATTTTACCATAAGGCCTTTGATAGTTGTTTATTATTAAATTTATTAATATACATGCATAAAAAGTAAAAGCATATTTAAATTTCAAAAAAATTATATTTATAACTGCTCTCATTTTACTGAGCCTTGCAAAAATCAATCTGAATCATACTCAAAAGATATTTATCTTGACTTGATCAGATTTAGACCTTTATTTTAAAATATTTTGTATTTGTGAATATTATTTTCAAGATTAACAATTGAATTGTTTATTAAATTTGAATGCTTAGAATTTTTCTGAAATATCATATTTTTCCAACGGCATTTAAGTTAAAGTTAAAATTTTCAAAGAATATCAAGAATCTCATATGTTATTTCAAAAATTTAGACATTTTTGCTCATTAAAAAATGTATATTGCCCAATTCCAACTAATGACTATGCACTATATGCCTAATTCATAATTCTTTGTTAATATAGAAACAATAATAATAAAACTATAGGTGCTAATTTAAAATAGGTCAATTTTTAAACATTTTAGTAATAAATATATTAAGAGCTTTTGCCTTTATGCATTATCCAAGTAATTAACAATTGTAAATTTAATGAATATGAAAAGCTGTAAAAAAAATTTCTATAAATGTATTCATAATATAAAACTTGAGAAAGTTATGATATTAAATTAAATATTGCAACATTTGATTTTGGTATATAGCCTAATTATATTTTTTCTCATTTGTTTAATTTTTTTTATGAGATATTACTAGAATATTTTTATCAGACAAGGAGATCCCTATGATTAACATTTTTATCCAATCTATCGATCAACTTTCTTTTATTATCTTAAATTCTATGCAATATTATACTAATATTTAGTAACTAGTTACATTTTGGCTAAAAATTAACTGTAACTAGTTATATTTTTAAAATTGTAACTAGTAACTGTAACTAGTTATAATTTTTGAAATGTAACTGCCAAAAGTAACTAGTTACTTTTAAAGATATATTTAAATAATTAATTTTATTTTTAATATGTTGTGATAAATTAATTTTAAATTAAATTTATTTTTTAAATTAAATTTATTAATTTAAAATTTTGTGAAAATGTCTGATTGTTATAATTTCCCGTTCAAATTGATTTTCTTTTCTTAAATTGTTACATTGCTGCTGGGCTTCATAATTTTGTAAGCAAATTCAAGTAATTTAATAAATTTTAATATTATATTTATTTACAAATGTAGCACAATATATTTTTTTCCGTCAAGTAACAAGCATTGGAACTTCATATCATACGTAATAAAAAAAAATTTTAATTTAGTATAAGGAAAAATAAAGACAGATTATTTAGAATATTAAATTATTAATCATTACTTACAAGAACCAAGTCTAACAAAAGCATAAGCACATTACTCAAATTTTAAAAAATGATTGCTTTCTAAAATTTATTTTTGGTCTAGCCTGAATTTTTATTTATAATCAAATTATATATAAATTAGACACATTTTAGAACTGTATGCTTCACTCATTAATTGATTATTCTATTCCTAATTTAGATAGTGTTATTTATATTTATCTCCTAGATAGAAACAGAATACAATATGAATTCTGAGTCAGATGATGAAGAAATTATACCTTCTCCTTCTACAATAATTGCAAAAAAAAAGGACCTTCCTTGGCCAAGTTTTGAAAAATATTTTGAATTCCACAAAGAGAAGGCTGGTAGTAATACTAATATTATTGTCAAATGTCTCTTATGCCTACCATATAAAAAGTATATTGCAGCATCTAAGTCATCCACAGCTAATTTATGGAAACATATCTCTGTAAGTTTAAATAAATTTAATAAATTATACGGAAGGCAATTATTATTTAAGTGAATTTTTATATATTTTAAGACATTTGTTTCGATAAATTTACAACTTGAAAACGAGTAACGTATTATATTCAATATTTATTTTATTACATAATATTATAACTAACTCAAATAATTAACAAAAAACACGACTATATATATCTATAAAAACAAATTAAACTTTAACAACCTAAAGTCATAATCACAATATACTTTAAAGTTAATGTTCAAATTTTATAATCTTTTATCTTTAATAACCCACAGTGATAATTTATACAATTTTAAAAGTTACAATTTCAAAGTTAATTTAAATTTAGATAATTTTCCTAAAACAACATTTCCCTCTCTTTTAGTTTCCCCCTTCATTGTGTCTATCGATCGTATCATATGTTGAAGTTGTCACTAAGATTTTTATCCGTTTACGTCCATGTATCTTTCAGTGTTCATTACCCAGATTTAGCTAAAAAAAATTTCATTTTATTTATATATATAATTTGATAAATCTTTTTTCGGTCTCAGATAATATTTCCGATTTTGTTCCTTTTGATTTTGAACTTGACCTCGAACTTGATTTTGATTTCGATTTTATTTCACTTCTTCACCCTCTAAAACTCGTGCGTCCGTTGTACTATTAGTTTGTCATTTTCGCTATTTTTTTTTTATTGTTGCATAAGTAATTGTTGATTTCATCTTTTATCGTTGTCTTGCTTTTGTCACGTTTTATCGTTGTTGGTTTGTTATGATCGTTTCGTCTCTTTGTTGTTTGTTTGTTTGCTCGTTTGCCCTCCATCGTTGTTATTATCATTATTATTAGTCAATCAAGAATAATTAGGAATAATAAGAATCGATCCAATCGAATATAAGAATATATCATCATAAAATGTTGATTATAGAATCGCGTTTTAGTATTGTTTAAATTTTTTATATTATAGTATTAATTTATATGTTATATTAAAAAATTTTAATCCATGAAGTAATTAAAATTTTATATTACGTACTTTTTTTTTATTCTTTTTATTTTAATTTGAACTTAACTCCTTTATTCTTTAGTTTAAAAAATTTTTTATAAAAATTTTCTTAAAATCAAATTTCAAACTTTTAAAAATAAATTTTATTCTCAACAATTTTATTCTCTCCTTCATTAAGAATTCTTTTATATGTTCAATTTTAATTTTGTCATCCTTTCTTCTAACACTACTTCTATTTCTTTTAACATTATTCCTACTTTTACACGTAATATTTTTCACTTTTTTTAAATTTTTGCATTTCCTAGAATCTTTATCAATATTAATTAAATTATTTATATTATCACATTTTTTCTCTTTTATTATTATTTCTTCAAATTTTACTATGTGATTAATATAACTATATATAAACGTTTCTACTATATCATTTTTTAATATTTTTACCGACGTAATTTCAAAATTTTTAGTATTAATTTCTAAATTTTCTACAATTTGTGTTTTATAAATGTCTACTTTTTCTGCATTAATTTTACAAAATTGTCTCTTGTTAAACTCATTAGTCGTTTTCCACTCTTCATACGATTTACTATTAATATCACTACGAAATAAAGAACTATATACTATTTCTACATCAATTGGCTTATCCTTCACTAATGGTTTTTTTACTTCTATTTTTACATTGACTGGTTTTTTACTTTTACTTCATTATTTTTTATACTATTATATTTATGATTATTATCATTATTATATCGATACTTATTGTAATTGATATTATGATTATTATTTCTATTGTTAAATCTCGCATAATTATTATATTCCTTATTGTAATGTCTTTCGTAACAATTTTTACACTCATAATGATTATTATAATTATTCCTATAACTTTTGGTTTGCACTTTATCATTTAAATAATTATGATGTAATTTAGGTGTTTCTTTTATCTCCTTTTCTGCCTTATAGCCAGATAAATATTTTAATATTGTCATAGTTTTCTCAAAAGTTGCATCTCTCCCTGTTGGAAACCTTATTGCTTCCATTAATACGTCCATCTCCAAATATAGACCTTCTGGAAGATTTTGAAGCAATACCTTAGCACTATTTTCAACTTCATATATCAAAAAAAATTTCTCCAATTCATTTATATATTTATTTACATCATTATCATATTTTGGATAGTCCATTTTGATTAATTTTATTTTAATTTACTTTAATTTACTTTAAGTTTTTATATTTATACGTCATATTTATTTTATATCTCTTACGTGTTTTAGAATTTATTAAATATGATCTTTAAGAATCCATTTCCATAATATTTTGTCCATGAGTTTTCACTTGTATCAATTCCATCAACCATTGATACCTAAATTTTTATTTATTTATTTATTTTAGAAAAATTATAAAATAATTAATTTTTTATTCATCATACTACTTTTTCCGCTGCCACCATAATAAATTATACGGAAGGCAATTATTATTTAAGTGAATTTTTATATATTTTAAGACATTTGTTTCGATAAATTTACAACTTGAAAACGAGTAACGTATTTTATTCAATATTTATTTTATTACATAATATTACAACTAACTCAAATAATTAACAAAAAACACGACTATATATATCTATAAAAACAAATTAAACTTTAACAACCTAAAGTCATAATCACAATATACTTTAAAGTTAATGTTCAAATTTTATAACCTTTTATCTTTAATATCCCACAGTGATAATTTATA